ACTCTACCCTGGGGCGACAGAGTGAGACTCTGTCTCAAAAAACAAAAAAGACAACAGGCTGGTCGCCCATAGCTCAATGGTTAGAGTGCTGGCCCCTGCACTGGGGGTGGTGGATTTGAACCGAGTCAAGGCCTGCTAAACAAAAACAAAAAGACAACAGTGAATATCCCTTTATTTATTTATTAATAAGCTATGATGAAGCCACAGTATTCTACCCAGGGTCAAAAAAAAAAAAATGGAAAAAGAACTGATATTTAAAAATCTACTTTTCCGGCTCGGCGCCTATAGCTCAACCGGCTAAGGCGCCAGCCACGTACACCTAAGGTGGCGGGTTCGAATCCCCAGCCCGGACCCGCCAAACAACAATGACGGCTGCAACCAAAAAATAGCCGGGTGCTGTGGCGGGCGCCTGTGGTCCCAGCTACTTGGGAGGCGGAGGCAGGAGACTCGCTTGAGCCCAGGAGTTGGAGGTTGCTGTGAGCTATAATGCCACGGCACTCTACCCAGGGGGACAGCTTGAGGCTCTGTCTCAAAAAAAAAAAAAAAAAAAAAAAAATCTACTTTTCCTCCCAACAGTGGTCTGAGATGTGCTAGCTGGCCTAAATAAGCATGGCATATCTTCCCAGAGTGCTCATGTTTCCTAAAGTTGGGTTTATTACCTTATAAACTCATTTAAATTGCACACGAACTTTATGTCCACCCTGTATAAAGAAGGTCTCACTGTGTGGATGTGGAACTCCTGGTTTCAAGGGATCCTCCCACCCCAGCCTGGGATTATAGGCAGCTCCATTTTGTTTTATTTTATTTTACTTATTTACTTTTTTTTTTTTTTTTTTTTTGAGACAGAGTCTCACTATGTCTCACTGGGTGCCGGTTGCCTTGCTAGGCTTTTTTTTTCCTTCCTATTTTTAGAGATGGGGGTCTTACTCTTGTCACAGTAGAGTGCTGTGGCGTCACATCTCACAGCAACCTCAAACTCTTGGGCTTAAGCGATTCTCTTGACTCAGCCTCCCGAGTAGCTGGGACTATGGGCACCTGCCACAATGCCCAGCTGTTTTCTTGTTGCAGGCTTGAACCCGACAGCCTCAGTGCATGTGGCTGGTGGCGTAACCACTGTGCTACGCACACTGAGCCTTTTTTTTTTTTTTTTAATTGAGACAGAGTCTCATTTTGTCACTCTCTGTAGAGTGCCATGGAACTCTTGGGCTCAAGAGATTCTCTTGCATCCAGCCTCTCTAGTACCTGGGACTACAGTCGCCTGCCACAATGCCCAGCTTTTTTTTTTTTCTTTTGGTTTAGCAGTCCCAGGCCCAGGTTTGAACCCACCAGCTCCAGTGCATGTGGCTGGCGCCCTAACCACTTAGCTACATTTGCCCAGCTGGCAGCTCCAATTTACCCAAACTTTTCTGTGTAAGATGTCTTACAGTAAATTATGTAAGGTAAAATAAATGCGGAATTGAAATGAATTTAACAAAAATGTTGACACTGCTGCCAGACAGTTCTCATTACCTTTCCTAACTGTTCCAGTCTGTGATGTGAACTTCTCAGCAAATAGGGGCATGCCAGTGGAAGTTAATGAAGCACTCCTCCCCTATAACAGTAAATACAGGGGTACAGTCCCAACTTTGCCTTCTTTGCATATAGGCTCTTTGCCATCGGCTCTCAACTGTCTCCTGAACAGGGAAGCTCAGGCATTGAAATGCTAGAGACAGACACATTCAAACTGCACTGCTTCCAGACACTGACAGGTATGCATCTCCAGATAGACCTGAGGGAAACGAGGGGGCAGGTTGGGGAAAGGGATTGACCAAAGACAGCGTTAGTAACCAAGGAGAGGGGCATGTTATAATCTTTAACCGGGACAGTTCTACAGATTGTCTCTTTTTGTGAATAGAAAGCCAGTATTTGATCTGAAGCTGATTTTGTCCACATCACCCAGCATGCTCAGCGCTGGTTAAAGTTCACCTTGATGCATTTCACATTGTACACATTTTGGAAAATGTGTTCTAAAATGAAATGTAAAAGCCAAATGGAAATGGCTTTGGATCAAGAGTCTTAATCCTTCCTCCCTTAATTTAGATTACTTAAAACTGCTTGAGTTTGTCCCCTGACTGCTTGAGTTTATCCCCATTGTTTGTGCTGAAGGCCTGCAAAAGTAGGAGTGGCAGAGTTAGAACTCATAGCCTAGTCTCAATCAGCTAGGTGACATGATAAAGTCACTTCACTTCTCTAACTTCCCTAATCTCATCTGTAGATTCAAAATCTTGCCTTTCCTGCATTATGTAGCAAGTAGATAATAAAAATGGGGTTAAGAAAATGTTTTACAAAGTTGAAATACTGTCCAAATAACAGGATGACATTATTTGCTGCATTCTCCAGCCTTTGATAACCATTCCTGGTCTTTCTCCAGGGATCAAGTTTGTGGTGTTGGCAGATCCTAGACAAGCTGGAATAGATTCCCTTCTCCGAAAGATTTATGAGATTTACTCAGACTTTGCCCTCAAGAATCCATTCTATTCCCTAGAAATGCCCATCAGGTAAATGGCCCTACTCCCCAGATACTGGGCAAATCCTTTCTGTCCCTGTGTGCTTTGCCCAAGCCATTTAAAGCATAAAGACAACAGAGCTCTCTGGGAGGCCAAGGCATGTGGGTTGCTTGAGCTCAGGAGTTTGACACCAGCCTTAGCAAGATCGAGACCCTGTCTCTACTAAAAATAGAAAAATTAACTGGGCATTGTGGCCACTGCCTATAGTCCCAGCTCAGTAATCAATCCTCTTGCCTCAGTCCCTCAGGAGGCTGAGGCAAGAGGATTGCTTAAGCCCAAGCGTTTGAGGTTCCTGTGAGCTATGACTCCATGGCACTCAACTCCAGGGCAACTAAGTGAGACTTTTTCTCAAAAAAAAAAAAAAAAAAAAAAAAAAGACAAGAGTGAATAGCCCTTTTCTAATAAATAAACAAAACCCAGACTGTCACTGGGGTTGTGGGGCACCTGTCTTTCGATTAGCGTTTCCCCTAGTTTAATTGTGAAGAGAGCCTCAGGCCTCACAATTTTTTCTTATTGTGTCTCTTGGGCCTGGGTTAGGTGTGAACTCTTTGACCAGAACCTGAAGCTAGCCCTGGAGGTGGCAGAGAAGGCTGGAACTTTTGGACCTGGGTCATAGGCCAAACCTGCCTCCATCCCTCAAATTCTGAGAGTTCCTACAGCAAGGGTACTGTTGTTTCCACTCTGATGGAGAGCAGCCTTCTTACTGCATTGAAGATGAATGCTGAGCCTGATAACATGTACTGGTCCCTGAGCCTTAATACCATGCTCATTCCTTGTATATATTATGTTCCTACTTTCCAACTCTGTACAGATTTATTTATGGAGGAAGTAGGCCCATAAATTATGTAATAAATATTCCTTTAATCCCAATATTTGCCTTCTCAATTGATTGCTTTGAGGGAAAGGCACGGGAGGGGACAAATGGTTAGTTCTGGAAAGATGGTACTATGTTCTTATAGAAAGTGCAACAAGTATGTGTTTATTAAATCAATGAAGACAGGCTGGTTGCAGTGCCTCACACCTATAATCCTAGCACTCTGGGAGGCTGAGGCAAGAGAATCGCTTAAGCCAAGGAGTTGGAGGTTGCTGTGAGCTGTGATGTCACAGCACTCTACCCAGGGCGACAGCTTGACGCCTGTCTCAAAAAAAAAGAATAAAATGAATGAACATAAAGCCCAGGATTTCAAGGTGGCAGTGAGCCACTGATTGGTCACTGTACTCCAGCTCGGGCAATAGAGTGAGACCCTGTCTCTAAATAAATGAGGCTCGGTGCCCATGCTCAGTGGTTAGGGTGCCAACCACATACACCAAGGCTAGCAGGTTTGAACCTAGCCCAGGCCACTAAAGAACAGTGACAACTGCAACAAAAAAATAGCCAGGCATTGTGGTGGGCACCTATAATCCTAGCTATTTGGGAGGCTGAGGCAAGAGAATTGCTTAAGCAAGAGTTTGAGGTTGCTGTGAGCTGTGACACGACGACACTCTACTGAGGGTGACATAGTGGGAAACTGTGTCAAAAAAAAAATAATTGAGCGGCACCTGTAGTTCAGTGGGTAGGGTGCTGGCCCCATATACCGAAAGTGGCAGGTTCAAACCCGGCCCTGGCCAAACTGCAACAACAAAAACCAAAAAAATAAATAATAAATAAATGAGGCTGGGCACAGTGCCTCACACATGTCCTAGCACTCTGGGACGCTGAGGTGAGTGGATGGCTGAGTTCACAGGTTTGAAACCAGCCCGAGCAAGAGCGAGACCCTGTCTCTAAAAAAGAGCTGGGTATTATGGTAGGCTCTGTAGTCCCAGCTACTTGGGAAGCTGAGGCAAGAGAATCACTTGAACCCAGAATTTGAGTTTGCTGTGAGCTATGATGCTACAGCACTCTATTGAGAGCAACAAAGTAAGACTATCTCCAAATAAATAAACATAAGACTTTGAATCATGAGCTTTGGATCTAATCCCAGAATTGCTGCTGATTTTCTGGGATCTGGGGGGTAGTGTAATGATGATAATGATAATGGAACATTTATTTATCAAGCGTTTTACTGCTTCATCTCCATCTTTACCCTAACTTCAGGGGGTGCGTTGTGTTACAGAAAAGATTTAGAAAGGTGCAAAGTCTGTGTTTCAAAGTCTTCAAGCTAGTTAGTGATAGCCTGAGTTTGAACCCAGGCTTTCTGACTGCATATTCATTGAACTACTAACATTGTCTCCTTGCATCAAGTTATTTAACCTCCCCAAAACCCAATAGCTTCATCTGTTAAATGATTGAACTATACAGTGTTCAGCTGAAGGCAGAGGAGGCATGAGCTTAAAGCAGTCTGTCTCTACTTTGCTTTCCCATTCTAGGAAAATGAAGTCTCTCCCTTTGGGGGTAAAAAGGCAGTATTGACAGTATTTCCCAAAACATCTGTCTCTGGCTTAGAGCACCCCTTTTGAAAAAATGGATCACTGACAGTGTTTAGTATCAAATCTAGTTTTAATCTTCTATAACAAGTGGTTTTACCCTCCCACCCATACCCCCCAACTGTGTCCAGGGTTTTAATGAGAATAATGTCCTCTTTCCCTGGAGTCTGAGGTATTGGCAATGGCAACTGTCCACTGTTAAGAGGACATGGGGCAAAGCAGAAGTCACAGACCATTAGTGCCTTGTAGCTGCAGGGATAGCCTCAGTTGGGGCTGGAGTAGGATGGGCACAGGATAGGGCCCAGGAATGGAAGAAGGGCATAGGAGGCTCTCTGCAGAAGCACCCTATTTGTTTAAAGGCGGGAAATAGGAGCTAACAGAGGCCAAGAACAAAAGTTATCTTTTAAATAGAGCATAGGATGGGGAGCAGGGACCTCATTAGCCTCTGGTAACTTCCAGTATGACCTGGGCAAGGGAAAAAGTATAGAAACTGAAAGTCAAAGATTCAGTGCTAGCTGAGCGGTCCCTCCTTCCCCCTACAATGTGCAGGGAAAGGCCACAGGTGGGATGGTACTCCAGAGCCTCGCTTTTCACTCCGCCTTCTTGGGTACCCGGCCCATCTTTGTACAGATGTTTCGCAGGAGGAAGAAGGCAGCTGTGCTTGCTGCACAAATCACTTCAGCCACCCAGAAGGCTGTGCTCCAACTGTAATGCTTGGCAATGGTGCTGAAGGGCAGCCCAGCCAGAAAACCGCCCACTGCAAGGGAGTGGGGGAAGAGCTTGAGCCGTTTTGAGGCGAGAGCCAGTGGTGCTTGCTCTGGCCTCTAGCTGGCCTATGTGCAAGGCACAAGTGGGAGAGAGGGAGACATTCTAGAACATACCACTTACCATTGGCCATAAGTCCTACAATGGCATGGGAGGTACCACACAAGTTGGGAGGGGCACTCTCATTGGCTATGACTCCAAACAAGGCAATGGGACCATAAGAGGAGAAACCAAACACAGCTCCCAGCACCAGGATCCAGAGCTGCAAGAGCAGTGTGGAGTGGCATTCAGAGTCAGAAAGCCTACCCTCTGCCTGCCCACCCCTGCCAGAGCAGAGAAGAATGCTTGGTCCCCAGGAAAAAACAATAGTAGTAAAAGAACAGTAAGTGGCCTTCCTCACCCACCTCCCCGCTACAACTGACAGCACAGGGCTAGAGTGGTAATTCCACACGGAGCCAACCCAGGGCCTAGATAGGCAGGGGAAGGAGGCACAGAAGTCATCTGAGTTAGTGCTATTATTGGAATTCATGCAAGCTAGACTGGCTAGGAGTGAGGCAGAGGGGGTAGGACAGAGGTGAGACAGACCAGGTGAAGAACCACAGATATCTTTAAAGCACCTCACTCTCTGTAAAGCCTGTGAGCTCAGCAAGAGGGTGAAGAGCTGGAGTCCAAAATGCAACATCCTAGAGGAGCACAGGGAAGAGAAGAAAACCAGGCCCAGAGTGAAGGAGGAGAACCAGAAAGCAGAGGAAAGGAACTTCAGTACCATTAACTGAAAAGAGAAATCTGAGAGACAGGCCGGGCACGGTGGCTCACGACTTTAATCCTAACACTCTGGCAGGTCAAGGCGGACAGATCACTTGAGCTCAGGAGTTCGAGAGCAGCCTCAGCAAGAGCAAGACCCCATCTCTAAAAACAGCCAGGTGTGGTGGGCGCCTGTAGTCCCAGCTACTTAGGAGACTAAGGCCCAAAAGTTTGAGGTTGCTGTGAGCTATGATGCCAAGGCACTCTACCGAGGGCGACAAAACAAAACTCTGTCTCAAAAATAAATAAATAAATAAAAATCCCTGAGAGACAAAGGACTGGCCCAACCCGGAGCCAAGGAGAGGAAGACTGAGTCAGTGGACCTTGTTTTCTCTCCTTGTACTCTGCTTGAGGGACAGGCCCTCCTTAATTACCTTTGGAGAGTCACTGGTCACTGTTACTCTGAAGAGGTACATGGATACTGTCATGCCAGCCATCATGAACAGCAACAGGCCATGTCGAGGGTTCCCGTAGATGGACAGCCCTGCCTATGGATACAGTGCCAGCAATGTCAGGCCCTCAGGGCAGAGAACCCCCACTCCTGGACTCTGACACAGCAGGGCCTCTGCTGACAGGTCTTTGGCAACCCCACCACATTTCTTGGCCCTGGGCACCTCTGTGAGGCCCTGGGAGCTGCCCATTCTGTTTGAGGGCAAACTCCACAACATCCCTTCCTCCACCCCAGTTGGGGCAGGCTTAGGACACGTGCTAGGGAGCTGCACCTAGACTGTGCCCAGCCCCAGTTTTCTTAAGGCTATGGAGAAGGCTACAGCTAGGCTGCAAGGAATTCTGGTTCTCCTTGACATCAGTTGAAACTTATTCCTAAGAGCTTTACCTACAAATCCCTTGGAAAATTAAAAGTAGCCTGGAACCACCATCTGCCAACCTGCCTGTGCCCCAGGACTCCTATCTCTCCAATGCTTGTCCCAGCCATGCTGGGAAGATTCAAAAGGACCCTTCTCCTTCCTGTCCCTTCTGCCCACTCACCTTTGCCATGGCCCGGTCTGACAGGTAGCCAGCTGCAATGCTGCCTACAAGGCCCCCAACCTCCAGGGCACTCATGTAGGAGCTACCTGCAGTGGGGAGTTACAGTGGGAAGAGGGAAGGGAAGGATGGGAGGGTGTTACACTTTGGGATTGTCCCACCGTGGCTTAAACCCAGAGAGGTACAGGATCCCCAAGGGTGACTGGCCTCGGAGAATAATAAAGAGGTTAAAGGAAAGCAACCTTTACCCCTAAACAGATAAAGCCTGACTTTCCCATCCCCTGCACTGGTTCCTTCCTGCTCCTTATGCCCACCCCATCTCAACACTCATCTTACCCACAAGGGCTGACTGTCCTTTCTCCTGGATAAGGAAGAACTGGCCCCAGTCAGTACAGCAGGTCTTTACTCCAAACACTACAAGGTAGCCAGTGGAGAGCACCCACAGATAGGGTGAAAGCAGCAGCTCCTGTAGGGTGCTCTCCTCCTTCGCAGAACCTGGAGATAGGAAGAGGCCAGGCCTCAGGCTCTGCCACTGCTGCCCTGCTCCCACCTGAGCCCCCACCATTCATTAACCAGCCACAGGGGCAGAGTCCATTAGCACAATCAGGATCTGCGTGAAGGGTATCCCCTCACCCCACTGCTCTCTTCTACCCCACTCTCCTGCAAGCCTCAATGAATGAAAGAGAAACTGAGGACCAGGGTGGATGGGGGAAGGCACCCAAGCACCATGTAAGCTTAGGATGCTATGCAGGACAAGGGAGTCTGTGCTGTGTTGGGAGGTATAACATGGGTCACAGCACTTGGCCTGCCATTTGTCTGGTACCTAACTGCCTCTCGGGACGCAGTTTTGTATACTGCCCACCGTCCCTTCCCACTCCTTCCCCTGCATCCACTGGCTAGCAAAGGACTAGGCATATAGCTAATTCTCTACAAAAATCTGCCCAACAAATGACAAATGAAGGTGCCCCAGTGGTTGGCTTAGGTGGGGGCTCACCCTTCTTGCCCTTGGAGGGGGTGGGGTCCAGATTGCGGAGTCCAACATCAGCAGGTTCATTGTGGATGAGCAGGAGACAGAGGAAGGAGACAACCACACACAGCGCCCCAGACAGGGCCAGTGTGCTGCGCCAGCTGTAGCTCTGGGCGAGGATGGTGGCCAGGATAGGGCCCAGCCCTCCAGCCAGGTTCATGCTGGTTGACAGGATGGCCCACCAAGTGCCAAACTGAGATGGCTCAAACCACTGTGGGGTGAGGGGGGGACAAAGTAGGTGCCTAGCCTAGAGCCCATGTCATGCTGAGGGTGGGGATCAGGTGAGGCAGATCCTGAAGCTCACGTTACAAGGATGAGAGACAAGTCTACTTGGCAGGGCAGTACCCCCATCTGCCACCTGATCCCCGCCCCTCAGGCTCCTAAAATATCTTGACAAGCAATAAGAGCTGACCGGGAACTCCTGAAGAACCTGCTATGGGTTGGGGTGGCGGTGGTATTAAGAAGCGGTGCTCCGGCTCAGAGCCTGTAGCTCAGCGGCTAGGGCATCAGCCACAAACACCAGAGCTGGCGGGTTCAAATCCAGCCCAGGCCTGCCAAACAACAATGACAACTAAAACAAAAAAATAGCCGAGCGTTGCGGTGGGCACCTGTAATCCCAGTTACTTGGGAGGCTGAGGCAAGAGAATGGCTTAAGCCCAAGAGTTTGAGGTTGCTGTGAGCTGTGACACTACAGCACTCTAACAAGGGCAACATAGTGAAACTGTCTCAAAAAAAAAAAGAAGCAGTGCTCCCCCATGCTCTTTAGGCATTCTCTAGTCTATGCCAATCCAAACAGGCTCTTTGAAAGTACTCACCTTTCGCAGGACTTTCCCACATGGGGGCCAGCCCAGCCCCTGGGCCAGTCCATTAAGGAACCAGAGAGCAGCAAAGACAGGCACTGTGGCACTCCAGGAAAAGATGATATTGACTAGGCCAACCAGGAGCAGCCCAGAAGAGAAGAGCCAGCGAGCACTCATCTGGTCAGACAGCACCCCACTCACAAACTTGCTGATAGCATAGGCTGCAGATTGGCTGCTGGTGATAAGCCCTGCAGAGGAAGGGAGCATGGAGCAGGATACCTGGAGATTAGAGACCAGGACAGATGCACAGGAAGGGTAGAGGAAGGCCTGGAGTTAGATGTGTGGGGGTGCCTAGCAGGAAGAGTCAGGTTCCTTCCCAGAAGAACAAGAGCCTGCACCTGCAATCCTGATATTCATAGGGTCTTACTATGCCTGCTACCTCTCCCGCCTCCTAGGCTGACCCCTGACTTCTCAGATGCAGCTGTCAGGGGACAGAAGGAAACAGGACATGGCAGCTCCCCTCTCTGGATTTGTGTATGCCTGACTTCCCACCTCACCCTGGATGCCAGTCCAAGACCTCTAGCTCTTCTGTTGCTCCACCTCCAAATCTGGGGCAAAGGGCTCAGGATTGGAGTCAGGGACCTTATCTCTCCTGAAGGATAGTATGCCAAGAGACATGAAGTCACTGTGCCACCTTCCCAGTTCCCAGTAGTCACAATGTCAGTAGCCAGCACTCACTCTGCAGCCTTAGTATGCACGCACACAGGTGAGACAACCATACTCAGAACCCACGCAAACACACTCAGATTAAACACACACACACACACTAGATAAGCAGACTTCCTTAACTTTCACCTGTACACATCCATGTACATGCACCTCAGAGCCTCTTCACCCTGCACATGCAGACTGGCTGGCCCCCAGCCTCTGCTATGCACTTAACGCCACACACAGTACACACCTGTGCACAACACATTCCATAAACACCCAATGTGTGTCTTCCTGGTTTTGTGTTCCTTGACCCACCACCCTTCCCTTCCAGAGCTCACCCAAATCATCTTTGTCCAGCGGGATCTCTTCCACCAATGATGGCATGACAAAGGAGAAAGTCTTGCGGTTGAAGTAGTACAGGCTGTAGCCCCCAAACATGGCTGAGAAGATCACAGCACGGTAATAGCCATAGCCTCCACCTGCCATTGTTGTAAACAGCAGGCCCTCGGAGCCAGAACACAGTCTCTAACCACAGCTCTTGCTTGCAGCAGTCACAGTGTCCAGATCTGCTGAGTTAAGTTTTTCTCTGTTCCCTCCTCCACCCAGCCTCCCAGGCTCCCTTTATAGCCACCTTCTGGACAATCATTAAGCCTGGGGCGGCTCCTTGGGAACCCAGTGTCCTGAGGGAGACAAGAAAACAGCAGATTACTGAGAACCAAACTGTGGGGGGTGGAGGGGGTCCTAGAGGGAGGCATGCCTGTGAGCTAGGCCAGCACCTTGTGTACCCAGGATTTCTGCCTTTCTTTCCTCTTACATATCCGCCCCTGTGAAAACTAGCTGTGATTAAAGCGTCAACCTAATTACTTTTGTCTGCATGAGCCCAGGGGAGGCAGGGGTGGGATGAGTAGAGCTGGAGCTGCCCTCTAGCCCTGCTCACTAGGTCACCAAATCTCGTTCATTCATTCATTCATTCAAGGTTTATTAAGAGCTCCTGGTTCTAGGCACCGCATGTGGAACTATGTTGGTTTGTGTGTACACACAGACACTCAAATCATACATAACCCAACCACCCCACTTCCAAGCCTTCTGGAGCTGACCTCACCCCTGTAACTCCCAATGTTCAGCACACAATGGATGTAACTGTTTCCTATAGTGGCAGAATTGTAAGCAAGGGGGAATCCCCCCTCGGGTCTCACTGTCACACAAAAAGCCCCACTAGCTGCCTTTAGATCCCCATTACCCTGCGACGTCACTCTGGGCTTCCATCTGGCTAGCTGGGGGCTGCAAGATCTGGTGTCCAACCTGGGGGTCGTTAGCAAGGGCCGCCCCCAGAACGACTGAGTCTGTGGGCAGGAAAGTGCCCAGGCGGGCTTCGGACTGCAGCGCCCGAATCGTCCTGCTTCCCAGGGCCCCGGCAGTATACCCCTGGCTTTTCTGCTCAATTGGGAAAGCAACTGGAGCGGAAGGCGTAGGCGCTAGTGCAGCGGGCGACTGCACGTAGTCTCCCGGACGCCCCTTGCAGTGGCTCAGCCTTGCAGGGTAGGGCTGGGCGGCGGGAGGGGGAGGAGAAGCGACGGGCTTGGTCTCTTGGCACCTGCCCGGTCCCAGTGTCCTCAAGCTACCCAGGACACCCTAGCCTACTCTGAGGCTGGGAACCACGGGGGCCAGGGCTGCAAGAGCTGGAGAGGTGCAAGAGACCACAGGACTGGAGCAATACAAAGGAGGTGGCATGTGCTGGCACTGCCCCTCGGTGGCCCCCAGACCCAGGAATTGCCCCTGCAGGTTCAGGAAACGGTTCCAGGTTGTATCCGAAGTCGGGGTTCACCGACAACGGAGCCCCAGACCTGAGACTTCCCCTCCAGTCCCGCCCTAGGTGAAGCCCCTCCCCCGCACACCTCCCCATACCTGAACTGAACCCGGAGCCCGACTAGGACCGGGTGGGGGGTGGGCCGGCGAGCGCTGCGCATGCGCGAGGGTGGGGGCGGGGTCTCCGCCTGCAGTTTAGCGCGCGGGCTAGTGGAGCTTCCTCTCGTCGCCGAGACTATAATCTTAAATCCTGCGGATCGCGCTGCTCCTTGGATGGGGACAGCGCCCTTTAGAGGCCGGACATGGTATGTCCACTTCTTACCTGATTACATTCAACAGACTAATTGTTATTATTAATTTTTTTTTTTGAGACAGAGTTTCATTTATTATTAACCCTCGGTAGAGTGCTGTAGCATCACAGCTCATAGCAACCTCCAACTCCTCGGGCTTAGGCGATTCTCCTGCCTCAGCCTCCTGAGTAGCTCGGACTACAGGTGCCCGCTACAATGCCCAGCTATTTTTTTTTTTGGTTGTTGTTGCAGTTTGGCCGGGGCTGGGTTTGAACCCACCACCCTTGGTATATGGGTCTGGCGCCCTATCCACTCAGCCACAGGCGCCGCCCCAGACTAATTGTTAATGAGTGCCTTCTACTACCGAGCACATGCGAAATACTGACATCTTAATCGTTCCCAAGTTACAGTCGGGGAAAAGTCTTTTAAGAGAACACAGTATTTTCTGTAACAGATTAATGCAAGTTCTCATTTTGCTTTTAATTTCATGAGAGTGTAGCTTTGGACTGCCGTTTAGGATGAAACAGCAGATTGTCAAGGTGCAGATGATTTTTTTCATGGTGCAAACACATCATAAATGAGAACCTAAGAGTCCCCTTGGTACCAGGGAGAGCTGGGGTCAGTCATCCAAGATTTTATCTTACTGTGGGAGAAGGGGGAAAACTGACATTTACTAAGGATGAGTCTAGATCACCCAAGCACCATGTAAACTTAGGATGCTATCCAGGACAAGGGAGTCTGTGCTCCCCTGTCTGTGCTCCTCAGGGGAGTCTAGATTCTAGACTCTAGGCTGGTGCTTTATGGGTATTTGTTATCCAGCCCCCATCAACTACTCTTTGTGGTGTAGAGGAAACAACTGCTAAATAAACTAATGGCTGAATTTCATCAGAGCCAGTTTACAGGCTGGGAAACTGAGGCTCATAAAAGGGAGGTCACTTGCCGGATATGGTTCGGCTGTTACCTGGTGGGGCTAGAATTCAATTTAGAGCCCCTCCCTGGTAGCACCACATGGCACATCCCCATTCAGCTTTTAGGGTTACTCCTCTTCTTCCATGCCCATAACTGAGGCTTTGAAAATTCAGAGTATCTCCTTTTTCTAAGAATTTGGGTTTGGCCAGGCCCAGTAGCTCATGCCTGTAATCCTAGCACTCTGGGAGGCCCAGGCGGTAGATTGCCTGAGCTCACAAGTTCAAGACCAGCCTAAGCCAGACTGAGACCCTGTCTCTAAAAATATCTGGGCATTGTGGTGGGCACCTGTAGTCCTAGCTACTCGGGAGACTGAGGCCAAGAGAATCGTTGAGCCCAAGAGTTGAAGGTTGCTGTGAGCTGTGGCACCTGGGCACTCTACCAAGAGCAACAAAGTGAGACTCCATCTCAAAAAAACAAAACAGTGGGTAGGGCGCCAGCCCCATATACCAAGGGTAGCCGGTTTGAGCCCAGCCCCAGCCAAACTGCAACAACAACAAAAAAACAGCCGGGCGTTGTGGCAGGCACCTGTAGTCCCAGCTACTTGGGAGGCTGAGGCAAGAGAATTGCCTAAGCCCAGAGTGCTGTAGCATCACAGCTCACAGCAACCTCAGACTCTTGGGCTGTGACATCACAGCACTCTACCAAAATTATTTTTAGGGCCAACAAAACAAAACAGGCAAAACTCCTCTCTGTGGAGTAAAGCCTTCAAGACCATCAAAGATCAGGGAGACATTCTAGTAGGAGGTGTGTATCAGGAGGGGACTACCCCACCAAAAAAAGAAATTAATGCAGTCCTCAGTATGTACAATTTGAAAATTTAAGTGTGGTCAGACTATAGGGGGACAGAGATAAAACAAGATTACCGGAGTGTTTAATGAACAGGACCAGAGTAAACCTCAGATTCTAATCCTGGACCAACTACATTCCAACAGTGTGACTTTGAATCATCTCTAATGAAGTCTAATATCTCACAAACCTCAAAGTTCTCTGGTAGGACTCAACAGGTGATTTAGATAAGAGCTCAGAAAATTTAGATAAGAACCCCAGGGGAGGCTCAGTGCCTGTGGCTCAAGTGGCTAAGGCGCCAGCCACATGTACCTAAGGTGGCGGGTTCGAATCCAGCCCAGGCCCACCAAACAACAATGATGACTGCAACCAAAAAAAATAGCCAGGCATTGTGGCGGGTGCCTGTGGTCCCAGCTACTTGTGAGGTGCAGGCAGGAGACTGCTTGAGCCCAGGAGTTGGAGGCTGCTGTGAGCTATGATGCCGCAGCACTCTACCCAGGGGGACAGCTTGAGGCTCTGTCTCAAAAAAACAAACAAACAAACAAAAACCCAGGAGAGATGGCTGGAGGAATTGTAAATGTTCCAAAATTGATAGCAAAGATATTTTACACTAGGGAAGGTGGTCAGAGGAGGTAGGAGGTGGAGATGACATAAAATGGGACCACAGTGTAGCTGGACTTTAATTAATTCAACAGGTATGTACTGAGCTGGAGTCCAGTGTGTACTAGGCACTGTGCTTTCAGCAAGGCGCATCAGAGGACCAGGAAACCGAGTTTCTCCAAAAGCAAATGGGGACAGAGTCCCTACTCTACCTAATATGAAAGTAGGAAACCATTAAGCCTTCCCCCTACTTTTATTTGTAAGGTTTACTATACAATAAAGTACAAGAAGTGCATGAATTTTTTTTTTCCTTTGAGGCACAGTCTCACTTTGTTGACCCCATAGAGTGCCATGACTTCATAGCTGGCAGCAACCTCAGACTCCTGGGCTCAGGCGATTGTCTTACCTCAGCCTCCCAAGTAGCTGAGATTACAGGTGCCCACCACAATACCTGCCTATTTTTAGAAGCAGGGGTCTCCCTCTAGCTCAGGCTGGCCTCAAACTGGTAAGCTCAGGTAATCTGCCTGCCTCGGCCTTCCAGACCACTGGGATTTCAGGTGTGAGCCATGATGCCTGGCCTATTTTTTTTTTTTTTTTTTTTGGAGATAGGGTGTCATTCTGTCACTGAAGCTGGAATGCAGTGACACTAGCCTTAAGTTCCTGGGCTTGAGCCATCTTTTTTTTGAGACAGAATCTCTGTTGCCCTCAGTAGAGTGCCATAGCATCACAGCTCACAGCAACCTCAGACTCTTGGGCTGTGACATCACAGCACTCTACCAAAATTATTTTTAGGGCCATGCCTATGGCTCAGTGAGTAGGGCCCCGACAAAATTGCAACAAAAAAAAACATTAGCCGGATGTTGTGTCGGTCACCTACAGTCCCAGCTACTTGGGAGGCTGAGGCAAGAGAATTGCCCAAGCCCAAGAGCTGGAGGTTACTGTGAGCTGTGATGCCATAGCACTCTACCAAGGGTGACAAAGTGTGACTGTCCCTAAAAAAGAAAAAAAATTGTTTTGTTTTTTTCATTGCTACTATATAGAAATACAATTGATTTTGATGTGTTGATATTGGATCCTGCAACTTTGCTGAATTCCTTTACTAGTTTTTGTTTGTTTGTTTGTTTTGGTGTCAGCTCACAGCAACCTCAAACTCTTGGGCTCAAGCGATCGTCTTGCTTCAATTTTTCTATTTTTAGTAGAGACAGGGTCTCGCTTTTGCTCAGGCTGGTCTTGAACTTGTGAGCTCAAGCAATCCACCCACCTCAGCCTCCCAGAGTGCTATGATTATAGGCATGTGTCACCTCACCTGGCCTTACAACCCTTTTTGTTTTCATAAGTTGATAGTAATGCCCCTCTTTAATTTCTGATTTTAGTAATTTACCTTTTCTTTTCTTTTGAGACAGAGTCTCACTTTGTCCCCCTTGGTAGAATGCTGTGGTGTCATAGCTCACAGCAATCTCAAACTCTTGGGCTCAAGCGATTCTCTTGCCTCAGCCTCCCAAGTAGCTAGGACTACAGATGTCCACCACAATACCTGGCTGTTTTTAGAGACTGAGGTCTCTCGATCTGGTACAGTCTGGTCTCCAACCTATGAGCTCAGGCAATCCACCCGCCTCAGCCTCCCAGAGTGCTGGGATTACAGACATGAGCCACTGTGCCAGCCCATCTTCTTTTTCATTTTAATACATCTAGCTAAAGATTTCTTAATTTTAATGATCTTTCCAGGAAACTATCTTATAAGGTATTTTTGTTTTTCTGTTTCATTTTACCTCCATTCTAATCCTAATTTGCTTCCTTCTGTTACATTTGGGTTTAGTTTGCATTTCTTTTTCTAGCTCCTTAATGTATATTTTATCCGTTTCTTTCTTTTTATTTGGAGACAGTGTCTGACTCTGTTGCCCTGGGTAGAGTGCTGTGGAGTCATAGCTCACAACAATCTCAAACTATTGGGTTCAAGCAAGCCTCTTGCCTCAGCCTCCCAAGTTACTGGGACTAAAGATCCTGCCACAATGCTCTGCTGATTTTTTTCTATTTTTTGTAGAGAGGGGGTCTCACTCTTGCTCAAGTGGATCTTGAACTCCTGAACTCAACTAATGCACCTGTTTTGGCTTCCCAAAGTGCTGGGATTACAGATGTGAGCCACCATTTCCAGCTGATTTATTTGTTTTTATTTTTATTTTGTATTGTTTTGTTTTGTTTTGGCCAGGGCTGGGTTTGGACCCTCCACCTTTGGCATATGGGGCTGGTGCCCTACCCTTTTGAGCCACAGGTGCCGCCCTTATTTGTTTTGAAATGTAGGCATTTACTGCTATAAATTGCCCTGTGAGTACTGCTTTCAGTGAATCCCTTAGGTTTTCATGTGGTGTGTGATTAAAAGTCACTTTTTAAAAGAGCAGTTTTAGGCTGGGGGGCCCATAGCACAATCGTTATGGCACCAGCCACATGCACCAAAGCTGGCGGGTTCAAGCTGGCCCCAGCCTGTTAAACAACAATGACAATTCCAACAAAAAAAATAGCCGGGCGTTACAATCACTTAAACCAAAGAGTCTGAGGTTGCTGTGAGCTGTGACACCAGCACTCTGTCTCAAAAAAAAAAAAAAA